GGGACTTGAAAACAAAGAAAGAAGAAAAAAAGAAAAACCCTTTTTGTTCCCAAAGCTGTATTGGGCTTTTATTTAGTTGAGGTTTGAGACCAAAGTGACCCTTCCCTGGTGCCTGTAAGTGAGTAATTTGAATGAGAACAAAGAAATTGGTGTAGGGGGAGAGGCTTGACACACATCCTCAGCCTTTCATATTTAAAATAGTGTCTGAACCTGAGGAACAGTATTGAACCCAATGATGAATTAAGGCATTTTTTTTTTTTTAAAGTTTGGTTAGTTTCAGTTCCAGTGGTGGAAGACTGTGTGTCTGTGTGTGTGTGTATGTGCGCATGTGCGTGCATCCGCCGCAAGAATGAAAGAGAAAAGAAAAAGTTTTAACTGCTTAATGATGGCAGGGGAATAAAACCTAGAAAGTGATAATAAGGGAAACATCCCAACGTTAAGTTTGAAATCTGGAAGAGAAAGTGAGTTCAAACAGATGGGTCATTAGGTTCTGAGGCTGTGACATTTGGAAGCCAGAGTCACATTTTCTTTGAAACTGTGAATAAACAGCTTGGAAATAGTCTAGGATGTTCTTTTCTGACACTCGTTTTATTCCATTTGACTCAGGGCACAGAAAAGCAATTGTCAGTTAAATTGTCTTGCTGTAATTAATTGCTGGGATGTTTTAGTTTGAAAATATTTTTCTTATATTTGATTTCAGTATGACTGGGACTGAAGCTTATATATATGGGTCCAGGGATCTTTCTGAGGTTGTTTTATGGAACTGCCCTCCTGGTTTAGGTTCTGTCTCATAGAATTATATTTTTGACAAGTGTTTATACAACTGCATAGCATCTTGATGCTGTAAGGAACCTCAGTAATGTGGAAATTAGTGAAGACCAAACAAATGAGAACACATGGGCTATTTATTCAGACTTTGCTGTAGCAAGGCAATCAGCCACCAGGATTGGCAGGGACTCAAGGCAGGGAGAAAGTGTAAAGCTTTGTAGTGGGAAAAAGGAATTGCTTCAGGTATGCCCCCAGTGGAGGCAGTTGGCATAGGTGAGTTGCAGGCAACCTAACCTAGAAACAGGGTTGTTGTTTCCTTGCTAAGTCCTCTCCTACTTTTTGTGACCCCATGGACTATAGCCCGCCAGGCTCCTCTCTCCATGGGATTTCCCAGGCAAGAATACTGGAATGGGTTGCCATTTCCTTCTGCAGGGGATCTTCCCGACCCAGGGATCAAACCCATGTCTCTTGCATTAGCAGTTGGATATTTACAACTGAACCATTTGGGAAGCCCAGAAGCAGGGTATCATATGTTATTGTTAGGGGAACATATATGACTTTCTCTGTTTGGTCCTATGTTAAAAGCAGGGATAAAAACTGGGGAAGCTGACAGTTTTTAATCAAATCCTGTCTGTTTTGGGCCAATTCTTATACAGGTTACAGTTTGCAAGAGACAGCAGTCCAAAGCCTCCGCAAGTCTGACTTATGCATTGCAGGTTAGCTCTCTAGACTGATTATTGTAGATAATTTTTTGTAGATATTTTGTAGAAAATATTGTAGATATTTTTATATGTGGTCTGGCAAGTTTACATCTGTATCTTCAGTCTCTCAATGATTATCCAAAACAAACATAGAAAGAATAAATAAATTCATAAGGATGAACTGCCACAGTTTTTTTTTTTAATGAATACAACTTTTTACATGTGTGGCCCTCTTTCATTTTTAAAATATTAAAAATGTAGGTTACGATTAGATCCTTCAAATTAAATTGGGAAAGTTAGGCAGGGCTGTCTTATGTCCGTTTTGTAGTTAAGCAAAGCAGAGCTCCAAAAGAAAAAGCCAAGGGCTCCGTGTCATGGGTCACCAGCCATGTGGCCACAGTGGTTAAGGATTCCAGCTGGGCCTCTCAGGTCCCTCTCCCAGCTGCTTACTAAATTACAAACTATTCTATCTCTGCCCCACAGATTCAAATACCAGGGAACCAAAGTGTGACATTTGTCTTATCACACTGCTGGAAGATGATGAGTGTTTGAACTTACATGCTAAGAAAACAAAATACAGATTCTCTGAACCTATTCTGTCACTGTTCACTATAGTCTTTCTCAAAGATTCTTTATTGGAATTAAACTTTCAACCTGGCAAATTTTACAGCTTATGATTGTCAGGTAATTAGATTTTTGAAAATACCATTAGCTCTGTGCCACTTGAATACATTTGTATCGCTCACCGGATCCCCTTGTTCCATTAGGAATGTTGTATTTCCTACACACACTGGAAAGATGCCAGAGGGTTTAGGAAAACTACTCCATAAATGAGTTAGTTACATACCCACTGAGCAATGTTGTAAGAGCTAGAGGCACCAATGGGAAAAAAAAGCAAAAATCAACACTCAGATCTGCCTTTAAAGAACTTGGGACCTTTTAAGAAGAGCAAGTACACAGGAAAAAAATGATACAAGAAAATGTCAGTACAGAGTTGTTATCCCACCATGGGCTATGTATGGGGTAGGGTGGCTTCAAAGGCTACTTAAACAGTAAAGATGACTGAGGAAAGAGTTCTCCAATGAAAGGAAAGGATATAAGGGTTTTCAATGCAGGTGAGGTAGGAGATAGTAGCTATAGAAACCAGCATTGTTTTTGTCAGAGAGGGAGTAAAGAGGAAGAAGCTACAGCTAATTTATTGATGGTTCTTGAATACAGTGTTCAAATAGGAAGTTAAAAAGTTAAAGAGAGAAAAAAGTGAGATGGAGAATCATGTGGGTCATAGGGAGCTTAGACATACTTCTGTAACAGGAAGCTTCTGGAAGGATTTTAGCCAAGGATACATTATGAATAGATTTGCATTTTTTTGTTTTTGTTTTTTGTCTTTTAATACCTATCTCTGTGCACTACAGAATGACTATCACATCAGTTCTCTGAAATAATATTATTCTGAATGTAGTAAGCTGGTATCACTCATAAAGCATATTTATTTACTACATGTGCTCTTTTAAAATTTAGGAAGTGATTATATTTTTTTAAAAAGTCTTAAAAAAAAAAGTCTTCCATAGGCTATTTTTCTAAAAATTGAAGAGTAGTTTATTTACAATGTTGTGTTAGTTTTAGATGTACAGCAAAGTCATTCAGTTTTATATATGTATATACATTCTATACATAGAAATTTATATATGTATGTATGATTTATATACATATATACATTTATATATGTACATGCATTTCCATATGTAGAAATACATATGTTTAGAAATGCATATATATACATATAGAAATGTATATGTATAGAAATGTTTATATACATTTCTATGTATAGAAATGTTTATATATTATATATATGTATTTCTATATTTGTTGTTGTGTAGTCGCTAAGTCATGTCTGACTCTTTTGCGACCCCATGGTGGACTGTAGCTCACCAAGCTCCTCTGCCCATGGGGTTTCCCAGGCAAGAATACTGGAGTGGGTTTCCATGTCCTTCTCCATGGGAATCTTCCCAACCCGGGGATCAAACCCACATCTCCTGCATTGGCAGGCAGGTTTTTTACCAGTGGACCATCAGGGAAGCCATACATATATAATATCTATCTATCTATCTATTCATATATATATTCTTTTCAAAGTCTCTTCCTTTATGGATTATTACAAAATATTGATATAATTCCCTGTGCTATCTGGTACATCCTTGTTGGTATATATTTTATATATAATGTATATAATATATATAATATTATAGTACTATATAGTGTGTATCTGTTAATTCCAAACTATATGTTCTTTTAAATACTAATGTATATGACTTACAGAATGGCTATCACATCTAGTCCCTGAAAAAACACATGATCAAATTTGCATTTTGGACAGATCACTTTGGCAGTATATGGAGCTTATTTTTTGAGAAGTCAATCAAGGAGGTAAGTTTGGTGATGATTAGAGCTTGAACCATAACAGCTGAGATAGACATGATAGAAAGAGCAAAAGAAGGTAAAACAAGATATTCACAAATAAAATCTGTAGAATATGCAGACTGATGGATTGGAGAGTAGCAGTTAAAAAAGAGATAGATAAGTTTCTAACTTAGATGGTTAGCAGAACAGAAGGAATCATTAGTTTAGTTAGAAATGGTGTCAGCACAGTATGTGAAATGTTAAATTTGTTTTATCTAAGGGACATCCAGATGGAGTCATCCAGTAGGCAGTTGGATAAATAAGTCTACAGCTCAGGAGAATGGTCCAGCCTTCCCATAAACTATTTAGAAACCGCCAGCCACCAGACAACTGCTAGTAGAATCCTGGAGGATGAAATCACAGAAAGAATATATTCTTTCAGGTTGTGACTGTATTTTTTAGTCAATACAACCCAAATGGAAGGGACACTTGGAGGAAGAGAAGGTGTGAATGACACAGAAAAGGTGTTAGATAACACACCACAGAAAAATGGCCATCAGTGATGCCAAGAGAATTGAAAATATCAATAAGAGAGCAGTACAGAGATTAATCTGATTACTCTCTTATTGTAATGACTTAAAGAGAGTAGTGGCTTAGAAGCGTCTTCTAAATTTGCCAACTAAACGGCGCTAGGTGACTTTAGCAAAAGCACTTGTAGGAGACTGGCTGGGCTAAATGTATGTCCCAGGGAGGCAGCAGGATGAATGGGAGATGAGAACGTAAAGAGGAATGTAAAAGTGCTCTTTACGAACTTTCCTTGAAGGTTTGCACCAGGGAGCAGTTACTGAAGAACACTCAAGGTTCATTGAGGTTCTCCATTCCAAAGGTATAACTGTTTCTCACTGATGATAACCTGCAAAGCTGAGAAAAACGGGCCTGTGTGATGTGTCCCTGATTTATTTAAATGTTATCATCTCCAACACACCTAAGTTTCCAAAAATACATTAGAATATTTTATAAAATATTAAATATTTTCTAGAAATTAGAAAAAAATTAAACATTCTTTAATTTTTAAAGGAATCTGGGGAGGATGCGACTTTTGTTTAAGAGTATATAATTCTGGTTAATACACAGAATCCACAGAGGAGCTGAAGGTTCGGAGCCACAGTACGGAGCCAATACCAAAGTTGGACAGCAAAGAGAGAGGCCATCACGGGGCATCGTCCTCCAGAGAGCCCATCAAAGCTCAGGAATGGGATGGGACCCCTGGACCACCTGTGGTCACCAGCAGACTGGGAAGATGCTCCGTGAGCCCCACATTACTAGCAGGAAACCACAGCTCAGGTAAGAAAGAGAGTAATCCCCCGAATGGTAAGTCCTCATGGCTCTAGAAACTGTTTTTATGCAATTATCCCTTAGAAAACCATAACCGCAGGTATCTCTGCCTCTACTCATAGAGACAGTGTAAGCAGCCCTTCGCACAAAAGGAGGGAACAGTATGTGGTACACCCCAGGGAACATTCTTCACATGGATGATGGAGAAGTGAATGGTGCTTTTCAGGGCTGTACAATGCAGCAACCCTGACAATTCCAACCGTCTGTACTAAATTTCTTAAAAACACAAAGCAAAACAAAACAAAAAACCCTAGGGGCTCATCTGAAGCAGTTTTCATTTATAAAGTTGAAGTAATTTAGAGTTTATGCCTCTTTTGCTTCAAAAAAGATTTTAGACTACTGGAAAAAATAAATAGGAAGTAACATGGAGAATAAAAATGTAGCAAAGATGATTGGATGGCAGTAGAGAGAGTAAATATTATAAGGCATCTGATGTCAAAAGATGAAGACAGTAACTAGTCATTGGGCAAGGTACTGTGTTTCTGTATAAGTTGGAAGAGTTACAAGATTATAATCTAATACATCTTAAATTCACAAGTTGAAATTAAAATCTGAAATGCAATTTTGCAATGTTAATTTTTGTTGTTTAGTCGCTAAGTCCTATCTGACTCTCTGCAACCTTGTGGATTGCAGCAATATTAATAGATAAATATTATTAAACAACATTTTTAAAAATACAGAATATATGTGCTTTGAACTGATTGATCGAAGCACAGAGATCAATGGTGGATTCACAGAGAACTGTCAACTGAAATAAGCAACAATCAGGCAGACGCCTATAGTTTTCAGGTTTCTATTCTTTAAGAGTGTTAGGACTCTGAAGAAAAGACCAATCCTTTAATGTTCTTTTCAACTCTGATAGTCATCTTGGAAAGCAATTAGCGTGAATTTTGCCTGGGGTCTCTGACTGTCATGCACAAGTTAAAATTGGAACAGGATGAATGATATATGTATTGGGAAAAGGATGCTTCCAGAACATTAGCCAGGCGAGGCAGAACAATAGCTTCCTCAGACTTAAATGTAACTAAAAGCTTTGGTGATATTGCCATATCACATATCATATGGGTCATCAACTTAATAGCGTGAGTTCAAATTTCAGAGAAGGAACATGTGAATTTAGTAGAAATCTAAAAATAGATTTTTGATCATAAAATATAAATATCTATAGGTATATGAGAAGATATCTATTCATTTTGTCATGAAGAAGAAAAACACAGGAAACAAATGGAATTTTGTAGGATAAAAGCCACTCCCAAAGAAGGTTGACATCACTATTCTATTGGGAATTGTGATTCATTTTAGTTTATTTATTAGTGTGTTATTAAGGTATATTTTTGGTTATTTTGTTATTAGTATATTATTAGTTGTATTGTTTTTAGTTATTTGGTTATTAATATATTAGTATCAGTAATGTTTTTAATTATTAGTATATTTTTAGTGATTAAGTTTGTGCCACTATCAAAAAAAACAAAAACAAAACATGTATAGTATTTGCTCCTGTTGTGACCACAGATACTTTATAAAATCCAGAAGCATTGGCTGAATGTTTATTATGTAACAGCCACTGTTTGAGGATCTGTGAGTACAGTGATGAGGAAGATATCTTCATATTTGGGGCCTCAAAGGCAAGTGCAGGACAGATGAGTGGACCACTGCAATAGAATGTATTGTATACAAATAATATGCAAACCTAGTAGGGAGAAATAAGTTAATTTTTCTTGGGAGGGTATGATTTCAGGGAAAACAATGAGAGGCTTTTGGTGTATAGATGAAATCATCATTGCTTAAAGAGGTAATACTTTGAACTAGAGCTTGAACTGTCAGAAACCTGCTCACCAGGAGGACACAGAAGAAATGTCTGCCTTCTAAATGAAAATCTGAAATACTGTAGGATGGAATCTAGGCTGTGACAATTTACAGAAGGTTTACTGAAGAAACTGCAAAATAGGTTGGGACCAGATAGCAAGAGTTGTGAAGGGCCTTGTGCATTAAGCAGCATACCAATTAACAGTGGCTAAAGTAACACTGGCTTCTATTAAGGCCCTGTAGCCCTGGAACAGGAGGTAAGCGGTTTCAGGATTCTTGTAACTGTTTAGTGATATCATCGAGGCCCCGGAAACTTTCTGTCCTATAACTCTTCTCTTTTGCTACTCTGGATGGTGCCTTTGTGATCACAAGCTGAGGAGATGGTTCTGAGTATCATGTTCCAGCAGACTCTCTTTTTGATCTACTTGGGCAAATCTGGGAAGCATCCTCTAGATCAATCACTGAGTGAAGAGGAAGGGACTTCCACGAGCTTATAGAGGTCCTTTCTTTCCCTTACATAAAGAGACCTCTGCTTTATACCTGAAGATGAAATCAACAGTCTATTTGCCGGGAGTGTAGCATAAGCAATGGACAGTTATCTGTCCCATTGTGGTTAGGTTTGGCACATTAAGTGGTGGACTTTTGTAGTCATCTGTATATTTTTAAGATAGATAAAATATAAATTTAGTTTTCATCATGAAAAGCCCAATGATAACGCCAAGGCTTCAAGCATTGGTGACTGGGAGGCCCATTTATTCAGACAGAGATAGTCAGCATTGTTACTGAGTCCAAGCTTGTACTGCTCACTGCATGATAGGCCTATTGGAACATTACAATTGAGAGATGAGTTGTTGGGGCAAGGAATAGTGACTTTACTAGTAAAATCATCAGACCCAGAAGATGGTGGACTAGTGTCCCAAAGAACCATCTTCCCCAAGTTAGAATTCTGGCTCTTTTTATTCTGAAAAGAGAGGGAGTGTGGCTGGTTGCTGCCAACTTCCTGGTGCCAGAATCCTATGTACTTGCAGCTATCCAGATAAGTCTGGTAGTGTGTTCCTATAAACCTCCAATAAGACAAGTGTTATTTTCTGTTCTGTAACTTTTTACCTTTGTATGAATGGGCAGCTATGATCAGATACTTGAAAATGTCCTATCTTGTACATTTCAGGCTATAGGCAAACTTGGCTTCCCAGGTGGCACTAGTGGTAAAGAACCTGACTGCCAAAGCAAGAGGCATAAGAGACCTGGGTTTGATCCCTGGATCAGGAAGATCTCCTGGAGAAGGGCATGGCAACCCACTCCAGTATCCTTGCCTGGAGAATTCCATGGACAGAGGAGCCTGGCGGGCTACAGTCCATAGAGTCACAAAGAGTCAGACATGACTGAAGTGACTTAGCATTGAATATGTTTGCCCCATAGGCAAAATTAGTTTACAAAATGTGCAGAATTAGCATAACAGCACAGACGACAGAACAGAGCAGGGAGCTAAAGGAATAGATCCAATAATGAGTCAGGTTTTCTCTTCTCTATGACAACGTGAGATGTGGAGCAAGGTTAAGGTGGGAAAGCCAGTATTTACATTTTGATGATGTTAATTTGGAAATGCTCTGGGTTGTCTAATTGAGAAGTTAGCATACAGTTGGAATTGTACGTCTAGTGCTAAAGAGATTTAGTGATGTTAGAGAATGAGACTAGGGCTTTTTGACATGGCTGGTACTGTAAAACTGGATGATTCTAATCTAGGAGGGCAGGAAACTGGGATGGGAAGGAGACTGAAACTGTACCCTGGGGAGTCCAAACATTTCTAAGTGTGGGCAGAGAAGGAAGAACCTGTGAAACAAATGAAAACAAAACCATCAAATAATACACAAATGAAGTTTTACTGAACACAGCATGTTGCATAAAAAAGGGTAAGCTGTAATATGTCTTTGACACTCTGACATGATTGTTGTATGAGATTCAGAGTGTAAACTGAATTTATAATGTGCTTTCACTTTCTTCAACTGAAAACTGAAGCATCTCTTTCAGTTGATGACACCTAAAAATCTCTTCTAGGTCCTTGAGCTCTGTTTGTAGAGTGATAAATTGTCTACTGACCAGAAGAAATAGCACAAATAGCTTTTGTTTTTCACACTCTCCATCTTAGATTATGAAGGAAGTAAATAAGGGGGAAGAAAAGATTTTTGTTACAATTTTGATAAAGACATTTTTGTATCCATTTTGCAAGATATGTGAAATGCAGGGGCACATATAGAGTTACATACACAGTGTCTGTGCCAATTAGGTCTTCTTTAGTGATAATTAAACATATTAGCATGATATAATGCTTGAAAGAACATTACAAGTATTGAACTTTTAGAAGTCTATGCCTCACAAATACTGGGTTAACCCAAAAGTTCATTTGGGTTTCCAAAAGCTGTTACAGAACAAACGTTTTGGCTAACCCCATAGGGCATTGAAATCCTATCTGTCGAGCCTACTCATATTCCAATTTTGAAAGGAAAAGTGAAAATTGCTCAGTCATATCCAACTCTTTACTACCCCATAGACTATATAGTCCATGGAATTCTCCAGGCCAGAATACTGAGGAGAATAGGAAAATATTTGTTATGTTGGTAGTTCTAATTTTTCTAAAAAGAAAGGACCTAAAATGTGCCAATTCTATATTAGAAAAGGGTATAGTTCCACTCGCAAGGAGAGGTATACTATTTGAATTATAAAGTTCACTCACCTTTGGGGTTTTAAACAAATGGGGCACTCCTTAAAGAATCACCTCCATCAGTGAGATGGCCTTCATCCAGACTAGGTAAATAGCTATGCGAATAGAACATGCTGGACTTGCTATTTTGGAACAGAAGAGAGTGACTCAGTATTTACGCTTTATCCCTCTTCTCCTCACACTTCCTCTTCACTGTTGTATCCTTGACATGGGGTCACTGGATGAGGAATATTCCCGCACTACACTAGAACTGCAAGTGATAACCCTCCTCCCTAAACAAGGAATTACACAACTCCACACCTGACACTCAAAAGGAGTGAAAATTCCACCAGTTCCAACTTTAAATCCCCCGTCTCTGTGTCAGTCAGCTTTCTGCCTCTGGTTCTTTCTCTCTCTCTCTCACTGACACACACACATAGACACA